CTACTCTCCTGTTTTAAGAACTTGTCATGTCTCTTCTGGATATCACCTTGGGACTGGATCTACATTTGTGAGGTCCTAAAGCTTATACAATTTAGGGGCCCTTTTAAAGAGAAAGAATGCAAAATTGTGAATGCAAAATGTGTGTGGGCACTTCGATGTCACCTAACATTAATGGAAACATAACGGAGGGGTAGCAGTATAAAAAAAGAAACCGTGAGTTTTTAACTGGTTGAACTTAGAAATTTGTACTTTTGCAACATCTATAAAAACATATGGCTGTGGAAACACATTTTAGGGTCCCTACTAAAATACTGCTAGGAACCCATGCAAGCTTCATTTATGTAAGCTTTATTTCAGCTTCTTGGTTTATCTGGCTCCTTATCAATCTCTTAGCTCCTAAAGCTTGTAACTTCTAATCCATCTATCCAATCATAATGCTGAAGGTTAATTTTTCTAAAATGATATTCTAAACATACTCTTCCCCTACGAGAAAACCTTTCTTGCCGATAGGATAACAGGCACAAATCTTCCCATGATATGACTCCCATCTACTCCAATCTCATTCTCTGTTATTCTAGACATGCTGCATTATTTGCAGTTCCTTGTAATATTATTCCCATCCTCTCATACCTGAGCAGATGTTCTTTCTTCCCTGGAACTGAAATGTATTTTCTCTTCTTTTCTGGCTAAAGCATTTCTGAGCAAGTTTCTATTTCAACTTACCTTGTGAAGCTTTCCCAGAGCTAACAATAGAGTTGATAGCAACCTCTTTGGCCACTATCCCTGAGTATTGCACTTACTCCCTATTGTAAAGACTCATTCACTGTTTGTTTCCCCTGATAAACCAAAAGCTCCTTAAGGGCGGAAACCTTGTCTTAACTATCTTTATTCCCTAAGCACCTGCACTGAGTAGGTGCTCAGTAATGCTCAGTTGAATGAATGAACAAAAAAGGAGGAGAAGCAAATATACCAAAAAGCTAGTTTTGTTGCTTTCAGTTCTTATACTGTGAGCATTTTTTCACTCTTATTTTAAAATATTTGTGTGCAGCTGTATTTGTTTTATAATGGGAAATTTAATTTACAATAAAATATTTCTTTGAGCTTGACTCTAATTTTCATTAGCTCTCCTACCCAATTCTCCTAAAACCCTGCACACCTGTGCCAAGCTTATTTACATGGCCAACAGTCTACTTAAAATCACGGTTAGATCCCTGTACACAATTAGCTAAATAAATATCATTAGTGCTGCTTCATTAAAGTGTATTTTTCTTAAGCATTTCTCAATACACATATTTCTCAGTAAGTAAGCACCTATTAGAATTTTGGCAAGAGAAATCTTATCATGGACTTGTTTCTGTAGGTATATACTTCAGGTCTTAACTGAAAGGAATAATAAAAGAATTTTGCCATCTGGAATAAAATAGTGACAAATACTACAAGACCCAAATTATGTTCATATGCATAAAGCCATGTTTCCAAATCACTATAATAATTCCTATCTCCCACCTAGGAGGCACTAAAGAATTGTTTTTAAAAGGAAAATATCAAAACAATCCGATAATTCTCCTAAATATAATCCCCATTGAAGTTGAACATATTTTATCCTTTTTTAGCTAAGCTATCATTATCATTATCCAGTAAATGCCTGCAGGAACTTTATAGCTAACAGTTTACCCTTTTCCTTTGCATGATTTAAATATGTTGTTTTATTACACATTGTTTAAATATACCCTACGTGAAGCCGACCACACACACACACACGCACACACACACACAGCATATTTAGATAGGAATATAGGTCAAAAGCACCAAAAAATGCAAACCACAAGTCATATGAATAACACCACCAAACTCAAGTTGACACTATTTTAGTAGCTTCAGAAACATTTGAACCCTGGCATAATTTACACCTTGAATTCAGGCAGAAACTCACTTTCTAGCCAATGGTATGATGGTGTTAGATTGGACCTCTCTACAGACAGTTGCCTTTTTCCCCTTTGTGCAAGGCTTGCTGTTCCGAGATCATGTGATGGCACCACCTGATGTCTAAGAGCTTTTTCCTAGAGGGGTCCATGCTTCTGCTAGCCTGGTTTGATTGTTTAAAAGAAAGCCAGCATTCTCCTTGTTGCATAATCCTGCGTGTAAGAGCTGAGATGAAGTGTAGGACAGCAGAAACAATGCGAGCTACAGAGTCACACAGTCATGGAGAGGAACTGCTGCATGGGCATTTTGAGGTCTGTGTGACTTTGAAGTAATTGGCTCCTTTGAACCCTGGTGTCATGGGGCACATTGCCCCTTCCGCCCCAAATTCATATGTGGAAGCCCTAACCCCAGGATCTCAGAATGTGACCTTATTTGGAAATACGGTCTTTGTGGATGTAATTAGTTAAGATGAGGTCATTCTTATGGGCCCTAATCCAATATAACTGGTGTCCTTATAAAAAGGGGAAATTTGGACATAGAGACAAATGTGCATAGGAGACAAATAATGTAAAGAGCTACAGAAAGAAGACAGTCATCTACAAGCCAAAGAGAAGGGCCCAGAACAGATTCTTCCCCTGCAGCCCTCAGAAGGAACCTATCCTTCTGTCAGCCTTGATTTCTGATTTCTATCCTCTGGAACTGTGGGACGATCAGTGTCTGTTGTTTGTCACCGTGTTTGTGGTACTTTGCTATGGAAGCCCTAGCAAACTAACACATCTGGTTTCCTCAAATGTCAAATCCTTAATGTAAATTAGGCGGTGCCATTACAAGGATAAAAAAATCACATGGTAGGTGCTGGAAAGAAGGCAGGTAATATATTTTATCATGGAAGGGTATACTATTTGAAGTATTTTATCTTATTTCCTTGAATCTTGCTTCTTTCCCCAGTCAGCCAAGTAGCTATACTCTTCACTCACGGTGTTAGAAAACTGTTGGCAAGGCAGGGAACACAGGAGACTGGGGGGTGTCAGTTAATAAACTGGGAAGTTCAAAAGCCTAATGCCCCCTAGGAAATTGGAATGATTCCCACCCATAGAAAACAGGATCAGAAGAGACCTTCCTACATATAAACTAAGCTAAGAGCGGATGTAGACCCCTGTGAGTACAAAATAAGGTAGCTAAGGCATGTGTGTACATCAGTGGATCCAGGAGCAAGACGGAAGTGGCTGGTTTCACCCTATTCCCACACCACCCTGATCCCAGGCCCCACTGCCTCGACTCTCCCTAGTGGGAGCAGAATGACAGACTGGGAGATCCAACTGAGGCACCTTCCTGAAATAAGTATGAAATTCCAATGTAAATGACCAGGTCAAAATCCAGATTTTAAAAGAAACTGAGAACTATGGATGGCTCTAAAACCTAACAGGAAGTTATAAAGGATCAACAGAAGGGAGATGAGGGGAAGAGGCTTCAAGAGGCTATTGGATAGAGCTGCTGCCGATGCCAAGCCTCACCTTCCCCCCAATAGAGAGGGATAGAAAGGGCTACCTTTTCCACAGCTCTCTCCAGAGGCTTCAGAGGAAATCTTTAGTGGGCCTGGATGTATTCCCTGGAGTTTGGGAGACCCCATGGACCGCAGCCTGGCTCCCACCCTGAAAATCCAGAGGACAACAGACCTGGGCTGTGCCCGCAGCCTCTCCCGCCCCTGAAGGTTCATAAGAAGCATGTTTTCCTGGAGCAGGTGTGGGCCAGGTGTGACAGAGCCAGCCTGAAGCCCAAGGAGACCACCGGCCGTATTCACGAGACACCAAATCAGAGGCCAGAGGGAAGAGACTATCTGAAACCAGGTGCTGAGTGGGGAGTAGGGTACTGAAGGAGAAGCCCTGCCCAAGTCAGAAGAATTGAAGCTGAGTGGGTCCATCGGAGGGGCCATGAAAGTCTCCCAAAAGTGACCAACTGAGAGGCAGTGTGAAGCAGCTTCCTGGCCCAGAAAACACAAAGCCAGCTTAACATAACATCCGTTCAAGTGAGAAAAATCCCTGAGCGACTTTTCCCCTCTTCGTTCCCATGCTCCAACCCCTGCGAGTTCAGCAACAGCAACTAGGAAGTGGGATAGGAGGTGACAGGTGAAGAGAGAAAAAAATGACAGACCTTTTCCCACTGCAGTAGTCCAACTTAAAAACGGGCCCCAGGTCGGGGAGGGCAGATCATCTGATATTAAATTGACTTTGAAGCTATGATTATGGTGTGATATTGGACATAATATATTTCTGAATGGAGATTATTTCTGTAACTTAAAATGTCCAGAGGAACTTTATTTTAAATCTAAGAGTGAACTTATAAAGTATGGAGTCTGCCTGAGACCTAAATTTCACCCGAAGCAAGGGAATACCTGCCACCCTTCTCCAATGCATTTCAAAGAAACAGAAGGAAATGAAAAAATAAATTGTGTTTTGATTGATTTCCTAAGTTGTGCTTGTTCAAAATACGATTAAAGAAAGAAACCCCAAATATGTTGTGGGGAGACACGGGTGATGGGCAAAAAAGTTTATTTCTTGGGTATAGTCTGAACTTCAGAAACAGCTTGGTAGTACACCCAGGACTTGAGTGGCCTTGCAAAGGATTTCGTGCCATAGCATAACACAGGAGCCACTGAGTAAGAGCGGCAATACAAAAAGAAAAAAGAAAGGGGGGGGTGGGGGAGCTTTTTAATCCTAAAGAGTTTCCTCTGGGCCTGCAGCAGTGATAGCATGCCCCTATGTGCCCAAGAAGTATCTAGAAGAAACTTAGAGAAAGAGAACAGAAGATCCTCGAGCATAGATCGAGGTGTGCCTCAGCAGCGGTCCGCAAGTACTGACAAGAGATGGTAAGACAGACATGACTAATGGAGAGATGACAGCCAAGAATTGCGATCCACCCCTCGAGAACTTGGCATCTCATAGCCTTATCCAGAACTTCAGTGCAACCTCAGGCTGCTGTCATGGTCAAGCAGAGGGTCTGAACCGCATTTACTTTTAGGTTAGCTATGGAAGAATAAAGAAAGTTACATTTCTTGCACCCACAGACAAGAGACCCACCTGCCACATTGGGGGAGGCTTGTCCAAAACTTCTGAGGATCCTTCTGAAGTATGTCTCTACACCTTGGACCGGTTAAAAAGCCTAGAAGAGAATTAGAGCTCAGTCATTTAGAGGCAGATTCACGGTGTACAGAGATAGGGTTGACTGTCTGAAGTCTTAGCTGTTTTAAGAAATACCACTGGATTGCAATAAGCTGAGTGTGACAGAATACAGTATATATGCTACTACAGAAGTCTTAAAATCTTAAAATTCCAACCATACAGATATAGAGTGATCAGCAGAAGGAATAGAAATAGAGTGAATTTGCCTGTTTCATTTACTTTTGAAATAAAACACTCCGAATCCAGGAACAATGTACAGAAAAGAGGAAATAGAGTAGGGAATTTAGAGGTTTCTATCCAAGACTTGGAATTTTTTTAAGCATTCAATCTGTTTCTGATGAGAGAAGAAAAATAAACCCAGGTCAGGGAATCAATCGTGACAGGAATGGTACTGTAGACAGATTGTTCAAGGAAAAACCTTTCTGATAAGGTGACATTTGAGCAGAGATCTCGATGAAGTGAATGAGCAGGCCAGAGAAAGGAATGTTCCAGACGAGGAAATAGAAAGTACAAAGGCCCTGTGGTGAGAGCTTGCTAAGCGTGTCCAGGAACAGCAAAAAAGCCTCCGCGGCCGCCATATGATTATCTGAGGGCAGAAAGGGGGGACATGAAATGCTTTCCCATGGAAAGCACCAGAAAATGCTCTCAGATTTTTAATCTAGAGGCCTTTAGGGGAAATTTTGTGTGTTTTTAATTAAACATTTTAGTTTGAAATAATTGTAGATCCACATGCAGTTACAAAACACATACACACACACACACACACACACACAGAGATAGAGAGAGAGAGAGAAAGAGAGAGAGAGAGAGAGAGAGATCCCATGTAGCCTTTACCCAGTTCCCTCATAGGTAACAGCTTGCAAAACTATATTACATTATCACAACCACGATACTGACACTGACAGAGTCAAGATACAGAACATTTCCATCACCACAAAAATCCCTCAGGATGCCTTTTATAGCCACACTTGTTTCCGCTCCACCCCACCCCTCCTTAACCCCTGGAAACCACTGATCTATTTACAGTTTCTATAATTTCTTCACTTCAAAAATGTTATATAAATGAAATCATACACTCAACAGAACTTTCTAAAGATTCGTCCAGGTTCATGTGTGTATCAACAGTTTATTTTTGGTGCTGAATAGTGTTCTATGGTATGGATTGTTTAATCATTTATTGAAGGACACTGAGTTGTTTCAAGTTTGAGATTAATTCACGCCAGTTGGAATGGCAATTATTAAAAAGTTAGGAAACAACAGATGCTGGTGAGGCTGGGGAGAAATAAGAATGCTTTTACACTGTTGATGAGAATGTAAATTAATTCAACCATTGTGGAAGACAGTATGGCGATTCCTTAAGAATCTAGAACCAGAAATACCATTTGACCCAGCAATCCCATTACTGGGTGTACACCCAAAGGATTATAAATCATTCTACTATAAAGACACATGCACACGAATGTTTATTGCAGCACTACTTACAATAGCAAAGACATGGAACCAACCCAAATGCCCATCAATGTTAGACTGGATAAAGAAAATATGGTACATACACAACATGAAATACTATGCAGCCATAAAAAGGAATGAGATAATGTCCTCTGCAAGGGCATGGATGAAGCTGAAAGCCATCATCGTCAGCAAACTAACACAGGAACAGAAAACCATACACCACATGTTCTCACTCATAGGTGGGAGTTGAACATTGAGAACACATGGACACAGAGAGGGAAACAACACACACCACCAGAAACTGTTGTGAGGTGGGGTATGAGGGGAGTGAATTTAGAGGACAGGTCAATAAGTGGAGCAAACCACCACGGCACACGTATACCTATGTAACAAACCAGCACATTCTGCACATGCATCCCTTTTCTTTAGAAGAAATAAGAAATTGTTTTTGAAGTTTGAGATTATTATGAATAAAGCCATAAACGTTTATATACAGGTTTCTGTGTGAACATGTTTTCTTTTCTCTGAGATAAATGTCCAGGTGTGCATTGCTAGGTTATATACGGCAGATGAATGTTGTTTTTTTCTCCCCAAAATCTACCAAACTGTCTTGCAGAATTTTACATCGCCACCAACAATATCTGAATGAGTCAGTTTCTGTACATCCTTGTCAGCATTTGATACTGTCACTATTTTTTATTTTGGCCTTTCTGCATTTGTCATTGGTTAATGATGTTGACCATCTTTTCATGTGCTTAGTTGCTATCTGTATATCTTCTCCCAAGAAATGTTTCTTCAGGTATTTTGTCCATTTTCTAATTGGATGTTTCTGCTTTATTATAGAGTTTTGAGAGTTTATATTCTCGATACTAGTACTTTGTCAGATATATGGTTTGCAAACACTTTTATTCCAATCTGTAGCTTGTCTTTTCATCCTCTCAATAGGCTCTTTCATATAGCAAAATTTTTTTTTTTAAACAGGGTCTCACTCTGTTGCCCAGGTTGGAATGCAGTGGCACAATCAAGGCTCACTGCAGCCTCAACCTCCTAGACTCTGGTGATCCTCCCACCTCAGCCTCCCACATAGCTGGGACTACAGGCACATGCCACCATGTCTGGCTAATTTTTTGTATTTCTTGTAGAGAAGGAGTTTTGCCATGTTGACCAGGCTGGTCTCCAACTCCTGAGTTCCATTGATCTGCCTGCCTCGGCCTCCCAAAGTTCTGGGATTGCAGGTTTGTGCCACCGTACCTGGCCTGAAATAGCAAAAATGTTCATTTTAATGAAGTCTAGTTTATCAACTTTTCCTCCAGCTTTTGGTATAAAATCTAAAAATGCTTTGTCTAGCCCTAGACCCTGAAGATTTTCTTTTTGCCCCTAGAAGTAGTATAGTTTTGAGTTTCACATTTAAGTCTGTGGTCTATTTTGAGTTACTTTTTGTATAAGTTAAAAGACTTAGGCCAAGGGGTTTTGTTTGTTTTGCCTATGAATGTCCAAATCGCTCCAAGAATGAACTGTTGAAAAGGCATTTTTTCTGTTGAATTGCTTTTGCACTTTTGTCAAAAATTGGTTTGATATGTTGTGAGTCAATTTCTAGCTTCTCTGTTTATATCAATGGCTTCCTCCATTGATATAAGTGTTTATCCCTCTGCAAATTTCACAGAGTGTTGATTATTACAGTTATATAATAAATTTAGGAATTGGGTAGATTACTCCCTTTATTCTTCTATTTCAAAGTTCTTTTAGCTATTCTAATTGCTTTGCTTTTCAGCTGAAATTTCACTATAAATTTTTCTTCTCTGTATTTATAAAAAACTTTGTTGAGATTTTGATAGTAATTGTGTTAAGCCTGTGTGTCAGTTTGAGGAGAACTGCCACCTTTGCCATGTTGAGTGTTCGGTCCATGAACATGATATAGTTATTCATCTAGATCTTCCTTCAGCATTGTGTGGCTTGCAGCATACACATCCTTTAATGTGTTTTGTTAGATTTATTCCTAAGTATTTCATTTTCTGAGTGACTATAAATAGTACTGCATTTTAAATTTTGATGTTCAGCCATTCATTGCTAGTATTAATATATACAAATATAACTGACTTTTGTATGTTTATCATATATCTTGCTACCTTGCTAAACTCAAATCAGTTTTGGGAGTTAGTTTTTCTTTTTTTTTAAATGTTCCATGAGATTTTCCACATAAACAATGACATCAAATGAAAAATAAGGACAGTTTTATTTTGTCCTTTAAAATCCATATGCTTTTAATTACAATTTTTTGCCTTTTTGCACTGGCAAGAAATTCCAGCACTATGTTGAAGAAGGGTCATGAGTAGATATCCCTTGACCTTGTTCCTGATCTAAGAGGAAACACTCACATCTTTCATCATTAAGTATAATGCTAGCTGTAGATGTTTTATAGATGCTCCATGTCAAGTTGAGAAAGTTTTCTATCTCAATTTTTCTGAGAGTTTTTCTCATAAATGGCACTGTGGAATTTTGTCAGTGAACTTTTTGCATGAATTGATTCTTTAGGGTGTTAACACACTGAATTGCACTGATGTTTTTTCATATACTGAACCAGCCTTGAATCCCTTGAAATAAACTCCCCTTTGGTCATGATGTATAATATGGTTCTTTTTACATATTGCTGAATTCTATTTGTTAATATTTTGTTAATATTTTTTGTACCTGTATTTATGGGGGATATTGGTCTCATCTCTTTTTTTGTACTTTGTTTTAGTATCTGGGTAATACTACTTTCATAAAATGAATGGTTTTCTCGGGGAGACTGTTTATAAAATACATTGTAAATAATCCATGGGTAACAAAGGAAGTCTCAAGGGCCATAAAAAATATATTGAACTGAATGACAATAAAAATACAACATGTAAAAATTTGTGGATCATGGCTAAAGAAATTCTGGTTTCAATCCCTCTTTAAATATTTGGTAGAATTATCTAGTAAAACCATCTGAAGAATACTTTTTTTGAAAGTTTGTTAAGTTACAGATTAAATTCCCTTAACTGTTATAAGGCTATTAAAATTATCTAATTATGGGTGAGTTGCAGCAGTTCATGTTTTTTGAGGACTGGGTCCATTTCATTTAAGTTGTGAATTTATGTATGTAGAGTTGTTTGTAGTAGTCCCATATTATCCTTTTGCTGTCTGCAGAGTCTGCAGTGATATATCCCTTTTCATTACCAATATCGATAACTTGTGTTTTTTCTCTTTTTATTCTGTTAGTCTTACTAGCGGTTTGTCAATTTTACTGATCTTCTAAAGTAATCTGAATTTTTTCATGGATTGTTTTCCTGTGTTCAATTTTATTGACTTTTGTTCTTAATATTATTTCCTTTCTTCTACTTGCTTTGGATATTTACAGCTCTTCTTTAGCTTCCTGAACTGTGAACTTACATTACTGATTTGAGACTTTTCCTCTTTTCTAATGTACGTGTGTGGTGTGCCATAAACTTCCCTCTCAGAATTGCTTTAGCCATCATCCACAAATTTTTACCTGTTGTGTTTTTA